CGTTTTTGTTCATAAAAGTGGCATCCTTTTAAAGGAGTTATGACTGTGCAAAGTAATGGCAGAATTTAGGTGAAAAGTGTAACTTTGTTTTTATAGAATGTATGTTTAATGTTCAGGTGTTAGAAATGAACAGCTGTTGTAAATAAAACTCTGTGTCAAAGGCCCACTTCCTCGCACCAACGTGATACCAGTGCTATTCTCTAATCAGGGTTTCAGAAATATCAGTTAAATGCAGTTTTGCTCTTTTGCTTTATAGCAAAGTAGAATTAGACAATGAAATTTCTGTTCTGATATAACTATTTTGGGAAAAATCAAAATAGGCACAGCATTACTATGTTTATTAATTACTTCATGTCTTTGGTTATGGAAGGACGACTATAACCCCAGAAATGTCAAAATAATTGCTTTTCAATATGCAGTTCTGGTAGGCTACAAAGCTTAGGAAATCAGGTGTTTTATTGAAGCTTCACAAGGGCACTATACAAAGAGTAGGAATATTAAAAGAATGGAGAAGTTGAGAGGAAGGAAATGAATGGGACATAATCTCAGTGGATCTTCCTAGTTCTGTTTTTTTTTTTTCCTTGAAAATTATTTGTTGTCTGTACAACAAAGCAAACTCAATAGGTTAGGTTAGCTGCAAGTATAGGGGCAGAAAAGCCACTTTCAGAAAAATGCTTTGATTTATCCTTTAGTTATTTTTGCCCTGTAGCATGATGTGACATTGTTTTGCAGTGTGTGCTTGAAATAGTATTCAGAGTCTGCTTGCCTCTGGAGTGTGTGTTGTTTGGGTCTTCCATCTTCAAAAGGAACAAGCTAGAATTTAAGACAAGGAAAAGGTGAGCAAATCTTATGAGGGAAAAACGAGATGAAATTAGTTTTATGACTTCTAGGAGCAGCAACAACACAGAATCCAAGAGGCTGGTAAAAAAGGAAAAGGTTGCAATTTGCATGGCAAAGGCATAAAAATCCAAGAAGTTTGTGGAGAGATGTGAATTATAGAGCACTTTCAGCATAGGAAGAATGAGGTATTTACTATTTGGGGGTATGTTTAACCTGAGGATTAGGGAAAGATTTCTAACCACTACAGAGAGAGAACTTACGGAGCATCTTTCCAGTCAACTTACATAAAACCACTGAGATACTCCCCTCCACTTTCTGAACATTTTCTGAAAGAGGTTAAGTTATTACTGGAAAGACTTGGGAATTGGGGGAGTTCTTATGATCTGATTAAGTATAATTGTTTGCAAGGATCTCCTAACACTGCTTTTCAACTTGTGGTTTTGTTTGTTAGCATTTTACTAATAACTTTGATAGCAATTAGGCCAGTTACTCAGATCTTACAGAGGGTTTCAATAATGAAAAGAAAAGAGAGAAAGGTTCTTGTGCTCTGAAAATCAATGTTAAATGCCGTATTTGTGGAATGGAAAAGAAACAGGGCCAAGAGTATACTGGCCCTTAGGAATTTGGCTAAGGATACAGTCTGTCACGCTGTATTTTATAATACTTATGATAAATTACTATTTAGACATATAGATCTTGGGAGATGAGGTTTTCCATATCCATCTGAGCTCAGGTTTAGATGGGCTGATGCAGTTTGTTCCAATAGCACAAACTTTTTGGTTTCCTCTGAAGGAGAATGTGTTTGTACACAAGGGCTACACAGTGTTTGAACCCCTGATATCAGCAGCTTTCATATTTAAATGCACTCTCTACTGTTTATTGATAAGTTTTGTTTTAATATCCTACCAAGAGTATCTTTTAAGTTGGGAATAAAGGCAAATCTTAGTTTCTACAAGTTTGTCATTTTTCTAATGCAAGTTTTCTTTGTACCTTCACATCTGTTTATGTCATTGTTTAAATTCTTATAAAAATTGTTGTGGTGCAGCCCAACAGTTTCCAGAAACTGGAAACATGATTTCATATAATTGTTCTTTTAAGCAGCAGCATGAAATAATTAGTATGGGGTACTTTAATTGGTGGTATCCAATTGACTTTTTATGAAAGACTTGAATCATAATAAAAGCAGAGAAGGCAAGTTGGTTAGTTCCTATAACCCAGTGCTGTCATCTGTGGGGAAAAGAAACAGCAGTTCTGTTGTATATTAAATGGCAGATCCAGTATGCATTAGGTGCTCAGCTTTTGGAGGTTTTTGTTTTGGTTTGTTTTTTTTTTTTTCCAATCAAACATCTTCTGGGAAGGATTTTTGACAGGAAAATTACAGGATTGGTGTTCACTCTTAAGATTTATGTTGATAATTGAAGCTGCTCCTTCTCAATAAAAGGTAAATGCAGCTTAAATAACTAGCTAAAAGAAAAGGAAGATTAAAAAAAAAAGAAAAAGTATAGATATGTAAAAAGATTATAACTTGGTTGTCAAGGCCATTACACCCCTCAGGCAGTTGTCACTAAATCTGTGCTTACTGCTCACTATGTGCCAGTCAACTAATTATGCATCTTTTGTCCCTTTCTGATCTAAGCAGTTCTATGAAATTTTGTAGAGGAATGTTACTTTATAAAATGCTAAGATTAAAAAAAAAAATAGATTTTTCTGTTATTTATCTTCTCCAATATTATCCAGCAAAGATAAAAATATATATGAGCATTCCTGGATGATCCTGAAGGATTTTTTCCCCTGCTTAGGGTTTTGAGTTTGTTTCCAAGAAAGTTTAGAGGTCAGTCTTTATGCTTTCATTCTGTACAGTGCTTGAAGTACATGTGCAGCCAGTTAAATGTCAGTGTGGAAAGCTTGCATACAATATATCTGAAAATGGTATTTCATTTATTTGTGGTCTGGGCCGGGCTGACAGAAACAATAGGAGGCTTGTACTGTATTGTGTGCTGGCTAGCTAGAATTGCCTGTGAAAATACAAACATGGTACATACTAGCATATGTCAAAACTTTGGTTTTTAAAAGACTTCTTAACTGCCTTTTAAACATCTTACATTGAAATTGCCTTTTTATTTTTCCAGAGCATCTTAGAGCAATTGATTTTAGCTCTGTAATCCTTTGTTTCAACACCTTTCCTTGGGAATTACATAGAAAGTGAGTAAAAATATAAGCGTATAAGGTTTTTAATCCCTCTCTAGGCATTTTTACCTTGGAAAGAGTGATTTGAAATTGGCCAACACACTTGTGAGGGCAGAAATATTCAATGAGGGGCTTTTCACAAAAGCTGTGTAAAGGTTTGGGATGAGTAGACACAGATCCAGCTGTACAGTGACTGAGATGTGTTCTCAGGGAACACAGAAGTCTATTAAATAGAGGCTTTTTTAGCTGCTGCAAAACACCAGTGCTGCTCTTGGCTCTCCTTTCACTGGGTTTGACCTGTGCAAAATCTCTTGGAGGTGCTGCTTAACATTTTTCTTTGGTGTGATGTGCAGGCTTGGGCTGTGCAGGGGTGTGTAGCCAGCAGAAGGGTTTGGAAGCTCCTTGGCTTCTGTTCTGTCTACCCAAACCCTATCTGAAGAGGAGGTTTATTGCTGTTTGAGATGTGTTGTATTTAATGATCAGTAAAGTTCATGTGAAACTACCCTGTTTTACTACATACAGAATGCAAATGTATTTCAGTGTAGTCTGGCCATACTGACAGATTTTTTGAGCATGTGGTAGTGCTAGCTGATTAGTTGAACATTTAATTATCTTGAGGTGAGGCAAATGTGAAATAAAATGAAAATTGTACATTTTAGAATACTTTTATATTCATATATGTATGTATGTATAACATATTTAGCATACATTTAAAACAGTACTGCCTGGACCTTTCCTCTTCTTGTCTCCTTTCCCTGTTTCCATATCAGTTTATGGTCTATTAACCTGCAGTGAATAGATTTGTGTTTCTGGTGCTTCGCAGCTGTTCAAACCCCATGTTATTAATGTTAATAAAGAATCTTGGCACCTGAGATTTTAATAATCAGGAATTAGTGACCCAAGAGACTAATTTTTATCCATTGCAAAGTTGTGCTTCAAGAAAGAGAAATAAGGAAAACAATAATTTGAATTTGAGTCAACATTTAAAACCCTGAATGTTTTGATAGGTGTTTATTACCAGTTTGGATTCTCGGGTATCCAGTAGGTTATCATATTTGTCTGTGGTATATATCTATGCAGACTATTACTGGGGTTGTTTGTTTCTTTCTTTGTTGGGGTTTTGGGGCTTTTTGTTAGTTATTTTTTCATTTGTTTTGTGTTTTCTGTTTGGGGTTTTATGTTTTATTTTCTTTTTAATGCCAGTTACCAGCTCAAATTTTTAAATAGTCTGAAATTGAATTATTTTCTAGAAGAGCATCTTGTTTAGAAGTACTTTGTCTAGGAGAGTATCTTACTTGCTTGTAACTTTTCTGCTGGATACTCTTGTCTCACAGATTTTTCTTGACTGGAGACATATAGAATTCTGTAAAGTAAAAATTTTCCCTGATGCACAAGGCATAAAAAGCACTCAGGCCCTCCATGCATTTATACTTTTATGGCACTACTTAACAAGGAACTTAAGAGATGATAGTACAAGTGAAATAAAGCAACTCTGTGAGCAGTGGAAATGTTAGAGTTACTCTGTAGACATGAATTAATGGCCTTTCCAGAAGGTTGCATGAGGTTGGCTATGGCTTTGGGTTATGGATTAGAAGTACCAGTTCTGCTGGTTGAGGTAATCTGATCTCTGTGGAGTATATGTAGGACTAGTTTATGTAGTTCTTGATGTGCATATCCATGGATGTATAAATTTATGTACATGAATAGATCCATGTAGAGATTGATGTGATTTAGGAATCTGGCCGTTCACTAATATTAGGTTCCCTCTTGAAAAAATGCTTTTGAACATACTTGGGAGAGCCTTGCACATGGTGAAGTGCACTAAGATTTTCTTTTGTGTACTTTAGGATGTTAATAGCTGCTCTTGTCAAATGCTGTGCTGCGAGGTGATGTTTAAGTACTTGTTCTGCAAAACACCGTGACAGTATCTGGCAATGATTTCCTGAGAAAAATTTACGTTTTTCACCTTGCAGGTTCCCGTCTTCGACAGGAGGATTTCCCGCCTCGGATCGTGGAGCACCCCTCCGATTTGATCGTTTCCAAAGGAGAACCAGCCACTTTGAACTGCAAAGCAGAGGGCAGGCCGACCCCCACCATCGAGTGGTACAAGGGTGGGGAAAGGGTGGAAACGGACAAGGATGACCCGCGCTCCCACCGGATGCTGCTGCCCAGCGGATCTTTATTTTTCCTGCGCATCGTGCACGGGCGCAAGAGCCGGCCGGACGAAGGGGTCTACGTGTGTGTGGCAAGGAATTACCTCGGGGAGGCTGTAAGTCATAATGCATCGCTGGAGGTGGCAAGTAAGTGCATTTCCCTCCTCCCCCCTTTGGTAACAGCCCCTTGCTTTGATGTTATTTGAAGATAAAAATAAGTGTGAGCTCCCTCCGAGGCAGTGACTTGAAAGCAATGAAGGAATTACATGGTTAATTATTATTTATACAGAGATAGGAAAATAGAAGGGGAGTCAGAAGATGTATCATATCACTGGAGAAATTCAGATGATTTTGTGCTACTTACGTTTTCGTTACTTTTATGCTTCCATGAAGTTATGCTTGCTTTATTTGTACAATTTTGTATACTTAGTTTCAATTTATACATGTTTTTTCCTCTCCAGATAACCATGCAATTTACAGTGTGTAATAGGAACCAGGATAGCCAGGATTTGATCTAACAGGATAGTTGTTGTTGCACAAATAAACATTAGGAAGAAGAATAGCAGATTTAGAAACACAAAATTAATTTTTTTTTCCTCTAAAAGATCTGGCCCACAAAATTATCTCTCTGGTTTTAAGTATTGGCCAACGGAAGGAGCAGTCAAGTATGTTCACATCACTTTGTAATGCTTATCTCTTCCTGTATATCCTTTAAACTCTACTTGTTGCAGAGGAAGAGATTGTACATTAAAGTGGTTTAAGCATTCATTCATATGGAGGGCCAAGTGTAGGTCAAAAAAAATCAGTTTTGGGGGTACTAAAGTATGAGAGGAAGCCTTGCAATTCAAAGTTAGATATCTATTTTGAAGTGGCTTTTATAGGCTTCCTTTGTAATGTGTAGCAATTCACCTGGTGTCCTGCTGAAGAGCAGCAGAGAACTGGGTGAGTCACTCAGAAAACACTGATCTCTGTTGACTGAATGATTCATGTTGTTAACGAGCTCTGAAGAGGCCCCTATCTCTTAGATAGTTTAAGTGCCACCATTGGTGTGTAGTTTTAGAAGAAGAGTTTATAGATTTTCATAAGTCTCACAGAAGGCCAAGGAAATAGAGTGTAAATTTGTGCATTTACTTGAGCCCTCTGTCTAATGTCTCATTTCAAAACAATCCCAAGGACTTTCATAACTACACCAGAAAGATCTCAAGCTTCACATACAACAGCAGAGATATACATGATTAAGATCATGCTGTTTCCTTGTTAGCCACTTCTAGTGATAAAAGTAATCAGTGTCTGGGTAGCTGGAAGTATGCTTATCCAGTAAATGTGTAACCTGTTTGACTCATACTCCTTACTCACAAATGCTGTATCTGGTATCTTGTAAATGTAATTTTGAGTGGGCATTAATGGTTGAGATCTTGATTTTTATCTAATTGCTGTTTCATTTCAGCAATTAGATAAAAATCTTAGACGGGGTTTTAATGTTCTTAGACGGGGTTTTAATGTTCTGTGCTTATTTCGTTTTCTTTCGATTTGTGATGTACCTTGAAGCGATGTGTGAAATGCACACAGTGCTTCTGTGTCTTCCACCACTTCCCATCAGAACCCAAAAACATGAGGTGGACTTCAGTGACTGATGCACTGTGCATGCATCAATTCAACTAGTACACAGTTATTAAATGTGTTTGTCATCCCTGGCTCAAATAATTTTCATGTGATTATAGTAGAGACTTACCAACAGGGTCTGAATGCAAAATATTGATATTGCCACAAATTTTTTTAAGAGCTTTAGCCAACCCTTGAGACAAAAAAAAAAACTTCTTTAAAATGTGTAAATGTGCACCATTTAACAATAATGTAGCATTAAATTGTTAATCCTCTTCAAAGTGGAACTCACTAGCCCTTGTATCAAGGGCTTTTATGGAAAAGTAACCACCAGCAATGCTGCAAAAAAAAAAAAAACACAAACCACAATCTCTATTTGGAAATAATTTGTAAATATAATGATATACAGTTTCAATTGCATACCAGGACATCGTAGACAAAGAATTTTAACAGTAAAGGTTATTATTTTATTAGAAAGGTAGTGATGTGACAGTGCAATAGCACCGAAACACTTTAAATAGCACAGAAGAGGTGAGGAGCAAGGAAAGAGTTGAAGGCTGGTGGAATAAATTTGCATTAAATTAAAAAGCTCTGCATTATGGGTGTAATCATTATAAACGGGAGCTACGTTCACAGCGGATTGCTGCAAATCAGCAAACTGCTCAGTTTAGTTCTCAGCACACCTGTGCTGAGCACCAGAGCATTTACATTTGTATGCCTGTAGTCATACACAGTTGCTTGTTTAGAAATCCTTATGTTCTAGTTTAATTTTTGTATGTTTGCCGAGTCAAATTGCCTTTGTTTGGTCTCTGCTTCCCACAAAGTACAGAAGATGATTGAGTACTCATTATATGCTTTGATGCTACGGTTTTAACCAAAAACCTTTTGTGAAACAGGAAAGAACATCATGTTTTGCAGTTTACCTGCTAACTCTTGACTGGAAGAGGCAGCTCATGCCTGCACCAGTTTGTTTCACAGCATGATAGGAAGTTTATCTCTTTTCTCCAATCATCTCATATAGTAACACATTGTTAGATGAAATTCCTTTGCTTTCTGAAGGATGGTGTACACTTATATTCAGGTTAATACTAAAGTTTTCATGTCTGTTATGCCTTGATGCAATTATATTTCAACTTTCTAAGCAGTTCCCATGCTCATCTTTTGAGATTAATCCACAAAGAGAATTTGTTGCCTATGTAGTCAGACGCACATCTTCCTTAAGCACACTGTGTATAGATTCCACAGTTTCAAAGAAAGAAATGTAGTGGAATTTCAAAGCTACAGATTTCAGAAGATTGCACTATACTAAAAGCTGTTTTATTTTATTTTTAAATACCTGTGTATTTTAAAAACTTTCAAATCAGCTTTAGATATGATTACCACAGGTGAGTAGTGACTTAAATCATAATTGAAGATGGCTTTCCCTCTGCTTTGTCACTTTCTAGTCATCAGCCTCTCCTTGGTGACTTGACTGACATTTGCATGTCATTTAATCCAGAGGATGCTGCATTTTCTTCCACTGATATATATCTAAATAATTATAGTGTTAGTCTTAAATTAATACCATTGAGCATGACCTAAATGACATTTATTATCAGCAAATTGAATTATATAAGTCTCTAATTTAATCTATGGCTCTTATGACCCTTCCAGAATGTTTGAAGGTGTCGTGTGTCTATTCACAACATTAAGGATTTGTTATATATTTTCCGTAGTCCTATTTTATTTTATATAAAAATATTTGTGCAGCTGTATTTGCTTAAATTTCTTCAGTTATTACCTTGAAACCATGCCCCATCCCCTTAAAATCCTTAAAACAAGGTGATCCTCTGGCTAGTGAAGAGTGATAACCTAAATCTACTAAACATGTTATTTAGCCAGCCAATTGATATTTCAGGAATTAAAGTACTTCAGACACTTTGGAGACTAGTAAAACACTCCCTGTTACACAGCTCTGTGCAAAGAAGCTTTGTAATTTAGTACTTGACTTGACATTTTGTTTGTAATTTACATCTGTCTTAAATGGGAAGGAGATAAATTTGCATAAAATGTGAATTGCAAGTCAGTCAAATAAGTGATGTAACTCCTGTTTAACTGAGGGGATTTATTTTTTTTTTTAAGTTCACTGGGTTCATCTGTATTTGAAATCCCATTTCCACAACTTTTTGAGATGGAGACTGGCTGTGTGTGTTCAGAGTTGATTTGCAGAGGCATGCAGTTCATGCAGCGTAGCCCAGGAGGGGTGAGCGGTCGGATAATCGGGCTGGAGGCATCCTCCAGACTGAGACTGCTCCAAGTCTGTTTCCCTCCCTCTTCCTGACTTCCTGAACTCAGCCTTTTGATCACCAGAGACCTACTTAAATTAGCTCCATGTTTTGTTTTGGAGGAATGTAACTGGTTTTGGATTACTGCCTACCAGTGACACGTTCTCCGGTGGTGAAAGGTCCTAAAGAACGTGGAAAGGGCATGTCCCTGTCAAAATGAAGCTGGCTAATTCTCTCTATAAATGTCAGCTTTTACAGGTGGGAGAAGAAAGTGGAATCATACTTCATCCTCTGAGTAAAGGCTGAAGACTGTTTTGGCTATCACATTAACAGTTGGAAAACAAAGTCGTTTTACAGAATAGAGAAATAGGAGCAGTTTTGAAAAAGTGCATTAGCAGACTGGAAAGTGGCTGCAAGCTGCTTCACATGTCACATGTTTGAATCTCTCAGGGTTGTCTGGTGAATGGATCCACCTGATTAAGACCAAAATCTGTTATTGGTATGTGATAGTTTGGTTCAAGTTTTTTTGTTTTTGGTGGGTTTTTTTTTGTTGTTGTTGTTTTTATGTTGTTCCTTTTTGAGGAAAATTGGATCCTTGGATCTTGTGGATGTCTGTTAAGTAACAATTTTATAGAAGCCTACTCATCTCGAGAGTGGCAACAATAGCTTCAAGGGTTTCATCTTCTTCAAGGTATTTCATCTTCTTTTCTCCAATCTAAATATTTTTCAGGCTGTTAAGAAAAATCAAATGCAAGTGAACTTGGTTATGTTTGCTGGTCAGGGACTCTGCAAATTAGTTTTCCAAATCATACTTTTCTGAGACAAACTTATTTCTCTTTTGCCACAAAAATTCTTTCCCCTCACACCTTGCCTTGTCAGAGTGAATTTTTAGAGAAGGGATATACTTATGACCAGGGTATTTGGCATGATTCTTTCATGTGTAGCTTTGTCATCGTCATAATGTAATTTACAGTGTGTACTAGATGGCAGTTCTAGTTCTAAAAACGCTTTGTTACAGTTTTAAGATTATAGAATCTGAAGATCAGTGATGATTTCCGTGTAGTTCATTTTCATGCAGAATATAAGCTGCTCAATTAACTGCAAAATTCTTTCTCACTTTGCATTCATTCTAGGCAATATACAGCCTTCCTGAGTTATTGATTGTAGTATTACCTACAAATTATGCAATATTGTCAATTGAAACTATGAAATTTGTATAAATGGACCTTATGTGTAATCACTGGCATGTTAAGAGTGGGACAAATAACTCCCTTCTTCATC